GTAGGACATATCGGCTAACAGCGATTTTTAAACATTTATTTCAATTTCATTGTTTCAATATCGATATCAGTTGCTTGGGGAGAAAATGGCGTAGCGGTAAGTGGCGCCGCTTATTACGCGAACAGGGTCGAATCCTTGACCAAATTGCAGCGAGGCCGATAAAGCTCCTCACCCCTCGAGAGCCCTTGTTGATAAATGACTCGTCTATGAGGACAAAACACTAACTCATACATTGGCTGGGCCCAGCAAGTCAATGATATAGGCCACATAGCATTCAAATGCCACTTCGAATCTGGAATGGAAGTTGAGTGTATGGCGCATACCAAAAAAGAACTGAGTGAAACTCAAGGCTTTGTTCTTTTTAGATTTTTATTATTTATTTGGGCTTGAAATAGCCAGCCTGGGAGTGGTTTAGGCTTCCAAAACTGACCATGATTATCTCCAATACTACCAAATTATATGTACAACTAAGGATTCAACTCGACCGCAGTTACAGGCCTAAGACTTTGTAAACACATGCGGAACAGACTCTTACGCAAATCTAGTTAACCCACTTTCCCTCCCTAAATATCCTGGTCTATGTGTTTGCGCATTCGTCGAAACGCACTCGCGCTGGCCTCAATTTGCAAAATGGGGGCGTGAAAAAACTTGAGGCGAGCGAAGACAGTTTGTTGACAGAACGACGACGACGCCGACGTCAACACCGACAGCGCGACCATCACCGGCCCCGTGGTCGGGGGAAACAAACGCTGCCGCAGTGTCCTCTTACGACAAACAACGACACAACCCCGTCGTAATTGTCGCAAATTGTCGTATACACCGCCGCAACAATTCGTTTGTACACGTGAATGTATTTCGGGGAATTTTTTTATGATTTACTTGGTCATTAACGGCTGACAAATGACGAATGTTGTGACAGAAGTCGGTGATCTTGCAAGCGTATTCACGCATTTGCTAATATCGATGGCTAGGATCTGTCGCGCCAAGTTTCTGTAGCTTTTTGACCCTTCTTTGCCCAAGGCTTTCAGAAAATCGCTTCCTCTAACCTGGCCCTTGACCGCATCACACTATGTTCCCGTTAGCAGAACTTCCTACCTGGGCTCGCTATAGTAATCGGAATGGTCACTGACTCAAAAATATAAACTGGTACGAAAATCACCTCACGGTAGATTCCTACAAACACTGATAGAAACTGAACAACGGACATGGGTGGTGAAGGTGGTAGTGGTAAGTGGGTCCCTTACCGTGCGCACGGACCTTGGATCAAACCAAGAGCCGTACGCTTTCCTGCATAACTAAGCCTTCCATCCCTCCAATGTCAACCGCCAGTACCACACCTATTTGAGAAGATAAAGAGACTGCCTTGTACATCAGCTGGCCTCCGCAAAACATCGTATTGGTCAAAATGTCACCACGATTCTAATGGCAGTAGAGTGTGCGGCACACCGCAAAACGGGTCATCAACTTCCGATGCTTTCTTTATCCTTTATTCACATAGACAAGCTGCCTTTCTAAGAGGACACTGGCCAGATGAGCGTAACTGCTGATTTCTATTTACTTTAACACCTCAGGCGACCCGGAATTGGGTGACAAAAGCCCCTTATTCTGACGCCATCCCGCCTGATACTAAACACTTGCAAACTGCTTCAACTGCATCTTGATCTGTAGTTTGAAACTTGGAATGTAATTTGTTGAGTTAGTTGGAAGCTCATATGGGAATGATAATTTTGGACGTTTAGTTACGAAGCTCATTACCTTGCTTCTTCCAATTCCAATGGTGCTTTTCCAATCTGTTGAAATTAATATACCGAATGTGGGGCAAAAAAAGAAGCATTGAGCTTTCTAAATATTGACAAAATCGCTAGCTACCCCCGCAACATAAACGAACAATTAAGGGGACGAAATTGAAGAATGAACAGAATGACTTCATATCGAAAAAAAACTTCGTAGGTTCATAATAAATTTTCATTTCTCAAGGCCTTTTGCGGCCTCTTCCTCAAACATGCTATCAAAACAAAAATTCCTATATTAAGCCACTTCTGCGGATCCCTGATGAGACCTTCGTGGAAGTGCTGCCGCACTCCGTCTTGAGCCTTCTCGTTGCACAACAAAGGCTTAGGAAAAAACCGCAAACACACGTCATTGCAATTCGCTATCATCATATAGCGTGTTCCGATATAATCGCTGAAAGCCTTCATAGAGATTTCATTTACGTCCCCCTTCAAGAACGTCGAAAACAATGTGCAGCGTAATTACGGGCAGACAACACAACACACGACTGGAAGTACAATCTTTCTTTCGATCTCCAACTCTCTCTCGCACACTCGCCTGTACGCACAGCTGCTTGCGTTGCCTCGCGCTTAGGCATGCACACGCGCATTTCAACACATGAAAAAAGCACGAATGCACTTCTAGATGCCGCACTCTACGAACATCAATCGACGAATGGCAAAACAACCAACCACCCAGCTAACCAACAACTCCCAGAAATTGACTATAACGAGCCCCCGTTCATTCACGGAATCGATCACGAACAATTTCAACAATTTCAAAGACAAATAAAAACGAAGCACAAATATGGAAGTCAGGAAAAAAGCAAAAATCAATTAAAACGCACTTTCCAGGTGGCGGCATTTCTTCGGAAGTATGCAAACGTCTCGGTGAACCAGGTGTAGATCTCATTCAACGTCAATTGACATTCAGGTGATTCCATAATAGCCTGCCGTATAAGCGATGCATATGTGTACGGTGGACGGACATCATTCGTACGGTAAAAATCTCTGGAAAAGCGAAAAATCATGTGAATTTTATCGTAGTCACCGGTAATCATTTTTGACGCTGTGAAATTTAGTGCAAAATTTCCCTATCAGTAACCGTCACGAAAGTGCTGTCTACTGAATTGTACACTGGTGAAAAAGTTGACACATTAATTTAAAAGTGCAACCCACGGAAATTACATCACAACCCCTTCTCGCTGTACACCACCCAATTGCTTCGAAAATTGAAGAAATTTCTGAATTCCGATTGGGTAGCCCATTCCTACTTAATGAATAAGATTACTAGGGACTTGTAACTTCTTAAAGAGGGACGCTGCGCTGCTGAACGCTGGCAAAAATCGCCAAAAGCGGTGGTGTCCCACTTTGTAGAACTCCGTCTGAAATTCTACACGTTCAGATAGCGATTCTGCACATGGTGAGCGTTGCCTGGTAATTTTGAAAAGGCCTAACT